TACCCTATATAAAAATTCAATATAAAAATTCAATAAAAATCTTAGTAAATTTTATAAAACCCCTGTAAGTAGTAAAAGTAGCCAATTCAATTTGTTGGCTCTAAATAAAATTTATATCTAAATCTGATATTTTAACTGCACTACCACTTTTTATCCCTCTGTCTCCTCTAAGAGCAATAATTGTTGTTCTCAATGAGTCAAATCTTATTCTTTTCCTGATGAATGTCATCGCCTCACTGTATCTTTGACCTTCACATAGCCATGTGCCTACGCGTACTGCGTGACGCGCTTGTTTCACAAGCGAGAGGGCTCTGGTTAGAGCAATCTTTGACCTGATTTTTTAAACATTCTTACTGGGCTGCGCTCAGCCTGTCATTCCGCCGAATCTTTATTCGGGCTGAGTGAATTACGACCTCCATCGCCTGAAAAAAAGTGCAAATGCTCATTGGATGTTACAGCGCACGTGACTCGCATTCACGTGATCGTTCAGAACCAATTACAGCCGCGCAAAAGATCACGTGCACGCCAACTACCAATAAGAAAGAAGTGACGTATTCGCTACAAGAGCCGCGCGCTGAGTTAGATTGTAAAAGTAAAATACAATTTAAGTAAAATACAATTTTTATTTTCCACAGAAGAATCAATACATATTGAATTATAAATATCCGATAATTCCATTAATAATCATTAAAAGTTGCTTTGTCATTTGTAAAATCAAAAACGAAAAGCCGTACGCTGAACTCGCGCGGCATTTTTTCTGCAGCTGCCTAGCTTCAAGCTTGTAGCCGCTAACATCAAAGCCGCCGCGCGCGCCCAGTGCTGGGTTGCATTCTCATTAACAATTAAACTTGGTCAAAGATATTTATATACAATTCCTAAATTAAATCAATAATCATGTTAATATGAGTATTCAACACTACTCGACAACAAATATTTGCCGGCCCATCAACGATTCAGTCGCCGAAACAAAAATCAAATGTTTGCTTTTTCGTTTCGGGGACTGTTTGAACTCAGTACCATATCCGACTAATCATACTTTATAATGGTTAAAATACAAAGTAAAAAGATTTTCCTCGATGGGCCGCGGCATTCGCAACCGCGAAACGTTTTGAGTACGACAAAAGATGACACCACCACCAGCCGTTAATTGATAAGTCCATGGGTGACGGGATAAAGTTAAAGTAAGATGTGTAATTTCATATTGCCTATCACCTAGGATACAAGGATACAAGGATACAAGGATACAAAAGTGATAATTATTTTATTGAATTCACAATAGTTATAATTCTGAAATAATTTAAGGTTACACAATTCTAGTTATTTACAAATGTGTAGGGATAAAATAGAAATGTTTTATAATACTATTTTTGAGGTCCTATAGCATTATGCATTGGCCAGTATTTGAGTGGAAATCTGGGCTCTTATAGTAGGCTGTAAAATGTTCGTTCACAGAGAGAATTGAATGGATTGCTCTTGCTGTGGCAGTAAATTTTGTAGGGTCTAGTGTTTTATCGGATAGCAAACCGGCTAGGTCAGTAATATTTTTGGGATGGAAGTTAAATTTTTCTCTAACTGAGGAGTAGAGTAAACAGTCAGTTAGAACATGAATTTCGTCCTCAATAGGCTTAAGCCCCTTGCTGAGAAAGCAAAAAGTGCACCATCGATGTTATCTTGGTACTAGGGGGGTTTCGTAACGGCCCCTCTCAATGTAAAGATTGTGGCAGCTAATACGAAACCTTGTTAAGCTTTTCCGAGCATCGGGGATCTTAACCACTCCTAAGTATGTTTCTGGTTCAAAATCATGTTTAATATAATGGAGTAGATCATGTGTTTTGTTAAATGTTTTTGAAAAAAAAATTATTAGTAGCAATGAATTGTGCTCTGCCAATTGCAACACTTAAAATTTGATTGTGCTCTGCCAATTGCATCACTTGATTTAATTGAATGTATATATATACTGTTTGACATATAAAAAAAAAAAAAAAAATCATGTTTAATTTGATTGTAGAATTCTAATTTAGGTGAGGATGCCTTGGCAGATTTCCAGGTATCCACACATTCTTCCCTCATGTTGTGACTGATTTGGGTAGAGAGCTTGGATTTTGAAGAGGATGAGTGGGGGAAGTTATATTTGGTGAGAAGATTAGAGATGTTGGTGTACCAAGGAAGGCCCAGCATAATCTGCTCGTGAAATGCAGCGGGGAGAAGTTCATTTTCAGTGCTTTCAAGACGACTATAGAAATCTATTGCAAGTTTGCAGGCTTCAAAGAAGAGGGGGTGGCGCCCACTTTCGCCCCAGCAGCCTATATTTGATGCTTTTGAATGGACAGACAAGGACCACTTGATAAACTTAAGGTGGAATCTTTCATAGTGGTCTTGTGAGATGTACCTGAGAGTATGCTGGGGGTTGGCTTTGCTATCTGTTTTGGAGAGGTATCTCATGGTTTTTGAGTGAGGACATAAGATTTGGCAGCCATAGAGCAGTATCGGTTTTATTAGAGAGTCAAATAGAATGTTTAGGGAACGGTGAGAGAGGGCATCTTTGACGATATTGCCTTTGAGGCCATAGAGAGCACGGAGAGCCTTGGCCCTCAGTTCAGTATTTGCTGCTGTAAAAGATCCATTTCTGTGGAATATAATGCCAAGATAGCAGTATTTTTCGGTGTGTTGGATGGGCTGGCCTCCCAAAATGAATGTTTCATAGGATTGTTTTCTTTTAGGAGGGCAGAATATGAGAATCTTGGTTTTTTTAATGTTTACTTCAAGGCCCATAGAGTTACAGAAGTCGAATAGGATGTTTATATTGTCTTGCAAGGCCTTGGGACTTAGGGCAAGTAGGACAAGATCGTCAGCCCAGAGCAGATGTGATATTAGGACGTCAGCTAGAATAGGATAATCACCAACAGATTTCAGGAGAGATGACAAGTCGTTGATATAGATTTTAAAAAGGTCCGGTGATAGGGGGTGTCCCTGCTCTGTTCCTTTTCCAATGTCAATATTAGGGGACAAGAGTTTGGAGATTTTTATATGAGCTATTGAGTTTCTATACATATCACTTAGGCAATTGAAGAAGTTTCCAGTTATTCCAAGGCATGTGATTTTGTGCAGAAGGAGGTCCCTACATACAGTGTCAAAGGCCTTTCTTAGATCAACAAAGCATGCATAGAGGCGAGCTTTCTTAACCTTGGTAAATTTTTGTCAATGACTGTCTTAAGGGTAAAAACGTGGTCATTTGTTTGAGCACCCTTCGAGAACCCTAGTTGTTCTTTTGGGTCAGGGCAGTAGAGCTTTTTGAAGTGCAGGAGACGCTCAAGTAAGATGCTAGAAAATAGTTTACCCATACAGCTACCAACAGCTATTGCTCTGTAGTTGTCCGGGCTGAAAGGGTTGCCAGACTTGTAAATAGGAGTAATGATGCTGGTGTGCCATGGATAGTAACCAGAGACCAGTGAGTGGTTGAAGTTTTTGAGGATGGCTTTGAGACAAAGCGGAGTTACGCTCTGAAGCATCTCGTTGGATATCAAGTCGTTTGAGCAACTTTTACCTTTTTTGAGATTTTTGATGGCAGAGGTCACTTCAGATTCTGACATGAGCTTATTTAGGATATCCAGATCTGGTGGTTCAGGGTAATGTTTGTGATTGTGGTGAGTGAGATCTGGCTCCTGGTCTGGTTTTTTATAAAGGGATGCAAAGAAGTCATGGAAGCTAGCTAAATCAAATTTGTCAAGTAAGGGGCTAGTGTCATGTTCTTGTTTAAGCCGTTTAAATTTTTTCCAGTCGAGTATGTGACCTTCTTCTATAATCTATAGCTTCATTTAACTTCTTAAGGAAAGCTACTTTCTTACTGTTTACAAAATTGCTATGCTTGTTGCGTTGCTTAAAGTATTCTCGTCTGAGGATACAGTTACAGTGCTTACTACCAAGCCGGTTTGCTAGCCTATTTAGGTTCCGCCGTGAGGAGTTGACTTGTGGGTCGAACCATTTCTTACGGGCAGAATTTTTGGGAGGCTTTTTCACTTTTAAGGCTATATCAGCAGCACTGTGGAGACATTTTATGACTGCATCGTTCAGTTCGTGATTGCCCTCCAGAGTACTGCTAAATTCATTTGTCACAATGCTTTCCAGATTGTTGATAATTTCGGGCGAGGTAAGGGCTTTTTTAAATAGTGAATGGGAGGTGTTGCTATCCCACTTATAGCCACAAGGAAAGTTAGAAAAGTCTGGGAGCTGGAAGTTTGCGACAAATGGTTCAAATGTAGTGAGTTTCAAGACTAATGGACAATGATCAGAGTATGATGTAAACTCTTTTACTTGGAGAGAGTTTACATGATCTCTTGCCCATGAGGTGATTACAAAATAGTCAACCACACTGCTTCCATTGTATTTGTGACAGGTCATTTTTCCAGTGGTGTCCCCAAGGGTACGACCATTAAGAATTTTGAGTTGGTTATTGATAACCATGTCAAGAAAGTGTTGGCAGTTCGTGGCAGTTGCGTGGCGGAAATTCTGCGCAGACACAGAATCGGTTAAGGAATCTGGAAGGATGAACAAGATTCTGAAAACCTGTACTGACACCAATAACAAACTTGAAGCCGTTTATAAACCAAATGGCGAACTCACCAAAAACGCAGAGGAGACACTGGAGGTCATGACACAAACCCACTTCAAGGAGTGTTACTGATCCGCCAGTTCCGCCTCTCTGCCCCTTACCCATCTCCACAGACTTACTAGACAAAATCTACAGCCCTGAAAGAATCGAAAAGGCTCTCCTATCCTTCGATCCCTTGAAGGCTGCAGGACCTGACACTCTAAAACCTATCATATTCCAGAAAGCCTGGGCTCATATCAAAGACATAACAAAAAACATTATGACAAAAAACCATGAAACGCAACACATCCCAACTTTGTGGAGGGACTCTCTTGGAATCTTTCTCCCTAAGCCTGGAAAAACCGACTACAACAAAGCTAAGTCATTTCGAACGATCACTCTTTCGCCTGTGATGTTAAAGTTGCAGGAGAAAGTGATCTTATGGCATATGCAACATGACCTCAACATAGCTAATGATATCAACAAACGACAATTCGGCTTTAAGAAGGGCTGCTCCACAGAAGCGGCACTTCATAAAGTTACTCACACCATTGAGCGCAGAATAGCCAAGAAAGGATATGTCCTAGGTGTCTTTCTAGATATAGAGGGCGCCTTCGACAATGTCTCGTTCAAGGCTATCTCTGAAGCAGTCAAGGCTACGAAAGTGGACTTGGCTACAGCACAGTGGATCATCAACATGGTAACCAATCGATTCATCACACTAAATCATAAGGATAAGTCGAGAAGGGTACGGATCAGGCGAGGTTGCCCCCAAGGAGGCATTCTCTCTCCTTTTCTCTGGAACCTGGTAGTCGACGATCTCCTTTCCTTTACCGCAAAAGACATCCCGGGTTACCTGCAAGCCTTTGCGGATGATCTGTTGTCTCTAGCGGAAGGGGATGATTTAGACATCATCTGGGACCGAACATGCAAAACTATTAAAACGATAGAAAATTGGTGCAGAACCAAAGAGCTATCTATTAGCGCCCTTAAAACTCAGATAGTCATGTTTACCTGGAATAGTAAGTGGACTCTAAGACCTATAACAGTTGGCAACAACATTATAGGTCTTTCCAAGTCTGCTAAATTTCTAGGAGTGACCTTGGACAGCAAACTCAACTTCAATGAACATATCATCAACACCACCAAAAAAGCCACGGCATCCCTCATGCAATGTCGAAGAGCTGTCGGCCCCACATGGGGTATGAGCCCCAAAACATGCAAATGGATGTACACGGCTGTCATCCGTCCAATCCTATCCTACTGCTGTAGTATATGGATCAGGGCCACTCAAACGGACTATAACGCGAAGAAACTCAAACGTGTTCAGGCATTGGCACTCAGAATGATGTCTGGTGCCATACCAAGCACACCTTTTATCGCATTGAATCACCTCACCGACACTTCTGACATCATACTGTTCCTGCAAGGCGAAGCAGCAAAGGGTGCGGCCAGGCTACAAGCTTATGGCAGCCTCACTCTTGAAACTATCGCCTTCAGGAAGGGAACTATCAAAAATCATACCACTATCAACAAACAATTCATGGCAGACCTCATTATCCCACCTAGAGCAACGAGAGACCTAACAACACCAACCATGATGCTGGGACGGCACTTCATCGTCACAACTCCTGGAGCCGATACCACTGAATATAGAAATTCACTTCAAAACACCATTGACAACATTACCAGTGAAACGATCACCTGCTACACTGACGGGTCACTCACAGACTCAGGATGCGGGGCTGGCTATATCATCACAACAGACAACAATAACACCACCCTTGAAGAAAGATCATTCAAGCTCCCTGATTATTGCACTGTTTACCAAACAGAGCTCACTGCCATCATTGAAGCTTGCAAATATCTCTCTACCTATACCAACACACATATCATCATATGGTCTGACAGTCTCTCATCTATACAAGCTATCTCTGCGCTTTCAACGCGGAGTAGAACTACAAGAGACTGTTACGACTCTCTTAATGCACTCGGATCCAACAACACGCTAGAGATACGATGGATTGCAGCACACATCGGATTGTGGGGGAACGAAAAAGCAGATGAGCTGGCCAAGCTTGGTACAACCAGTGAATCCATTTTGAAGTGTCCAGTTCCACAATCCTACATCAAGCGTCAAATCGACAACAAAGTCAACAGACTGAATCAGGAAACTTGGTTAACTGACGGTCCCAGACACACCAAACTGACACTCGGCCACAAGCATGCCAAAATCATCAAAAACCTCAACACTACACTCAGCAAAAACAGACAAGATTACAGAACTGCAGTTCACCTCATCACGGGTCACTGCGGCTTAAACAAACACCTTCACACCATTTGCAAATCAAACACCAGTGCTTGTCCTATGTGCGGCGACGGAGAGGAAACTGTCTCACACTTCCTTGGACAGTGTCCAGCTATTGCCCAAATTAGAGGTCAATATTTCCAGGACTACTACCTCTCTGTCAATGACATATTCGACAACCAACACATCACCACAATTGTCAATTTCGCAAACCGCACCAAACGCTTAATTGTGCCGGAAGAGCTGGATCAGACCGGGGTGACTTAAAGTATTATCTCATATGCTGTCTCGTCTCGTTACTTTTCCAAACCCAGCTGGCATTTAAGCGTATCATTTTGACTCATATATCATCTTACACCATCCTTCACCAATCACTCTGATTTCACCGGCAACCTTCCCCAAGGTTGCCACACCCCAGAGGTAGGCAGAGCATCTCAATGCTATCCTCTCGTGGGCTATCTTGGCCCAGCCTCTCTTAAAAAAAAAAAAAAAAGTGTTGGCAGTGGGGTTCAGATATTGTAAGGTCAGAATTATTTCTTGGTTCTTCTATGTCGTGCTCGAGTCCAATGTCGTTATAGATGTCATGGATGGCAGGTGCATTACAGGAAAGGATATAGTCTGGGAGTTTTCCAGTTCTTGCATTTGCATCGCCACACATAATAACTTCTCCCTTTTGACGTAGTCTGATACAGATAGAGTCAAGAGCAGAGAAGGTATTAGCAGTATAATCTGGATTCTTCTTGACATAGGACGAGTATGCAGGGCTAATATAATAACATACCAAAAATAGGTCAAAATCAAGTTTAAAAAAGTTCTTGTCCAGTTTAGCAACAATAATGTCATCAGATTCATCACAAAGCACACTAGAGACACCTTTTCTTAGGCCATTTTCAGCAAGAATGCAGACCCCTCCTGAGCGTGAATTTTTGCGGTTGCTATTAAAAGAGAGGTATCCTTCAATCTTAACTTGCTTCTTTGTTTCTTGGAGACAAAGAATGTTAGCTTGTTTGAGGATTGACAAAAATTCGCTATTTTCAAATTTGTTAGACCCGTCTCCTGTGCTGTCCTGGATGTTCCAGGACATCACAGCGACTTGATCTCGTACCGTGATACTTGTTTTTTCTTGAATTTTAGGGTTAATCTAACGCTCTGTAGGGGGCTGCTTTCTAGGGGATCTCATACCAAAGGCACGGTATAGGCCAAGTTTAATATTCAAACAAAGTTTTTTCAAACCATACTCTGAGACATGGAGTTGGTCCTCCTTCAACGGGTTAGGAGAGTCTTGGGATGACTCAGCAGCAGAGATGGCACGGGAAAAGTTTCCAGTATTGTTTACAGTATATAGGCGGCGGTAAAAGTCACTTAACCCTCTTTTAGCTGAGACAAATTGTGTTATTTCTGAGACAAATTGGTTGGTAAGTTCACTGATTAATCCAGGGGTTGGGGTGGGTAGGGAGATGACAACCTTTGCGCTGGAGCTCGAGAGGAGTTTATCGATGACTGATTTTGCATCCTCAATCGCTTTATTAACAGAGCAGGTTCTGTATCTGTAGTCGTTGACTCCAAGCTGGAGAATGTAACAGTCGACCTCTGGCTGTTTAATGACATCTCTCATACAGTGGTCTTTTATCATGTCAGTATAAGAGCCTACTTTCATTTTTTCCACCTTGAACCCAGAGGAAAATGACTCAGGTAGAAAGTTGTTCATCTGGGAGTCATGTAGGAGTAGAACCTTTTTCGGTTTTCGCGTTTGTCTACTAGGGCTGTGGGTTGGGTGGTTCTGGTTTTGAGGATGAGGCGATGGCTTTTTTCTTGATGGGTTGGTGCGGTCATTAAGCTGGAGAGACTGTAGGCAGGCCTTAGAGTCATCTACTTTGTTCTTAATTGCAGTGACATCTGCTTCGAAGGCTTTAAGGGAGGTGGCAGTTTCATGTTGTTTTTCGTTTATGCTGCTCATTATATCCTCTAACTTTTCAAGTCTCTTGTCCATAGTGTTGAGTTCATTAGACAGGTTAGGGGGGCTGGCACTAACTTTTTGATTGGAATTACTGTCAGAACATAAGACAAGTGTTTGGAGGGTGCTATGTTGTAGACTTATTTTGGATTGTAGATCAATAACAGAGTTTTCCAAAGTTTGGAGGGAATGGGTAACGCATTCGGGCTCAGCTGAGACTACTGGAGGCTCAGCAAGAAGCGTGCTCAGGCGTTTGTGACATGCTTTCGCAACTTTCTTCAGTCTTTTCTTACAATCCAGAGGGGTTCCAGAGTTTGTGCTGCCATGACGAGAAAGTTCGCTTTTCACGGTTTTGTCTTTCATAAGATCAATGGCTTCAAGCATGGCATCTATGCTGAGAGGCAATGTATCACTATCAGAGACTGATGTTTTGCTGCTGGTTATGGAAGGAGAACTACTGGCCACTGGAGACCCAACTGAGCTGGTGTCAACTTGTGAGAAGCTAGACAGAGACAAGGAGGATCTACGTCTGTTGTGCAGAGGTAGCGATGGTGAGCCTGAGACTCCAGGGGTCTTGGGGGCAAGTATAGGAGTGATAGATATATCTTTCAGGGGTGTAGATAAGGCACTTCGGTTTCTTAGGAAAGTGGAGCTGCAGGTCCTGTAGGTCACAGAGGTACGTGAATTAGTGATCACATTATCTTTGGGTATTTGATGCGTATACTTCTTTTGGAAATCAGTACCATGCATTACAAGAACTGAACCCTGGTCGAGTTTGACTGTGATGGCATTTCCAGGGTTCTTAGCCTCTCTGATGAGCATGCAGCGCTGTTGGCCAAGTGACAGAGTAACGACAGGTTTTGAGAGGTCGACCTCTGGCTCGTTGTCACTGTGCTCACCACAGGAATCACGTCCAGTTCTATACTGGTTGATCAAAAAGCAGTCAGAGGAGCAATCAATGTTGTTGGGTGTGAAGAGGTTTTCGGCCATGTTCTGATATGCTGCAATAAGGCGAGGACATTGGGAGACAGAATTAGCTTTCATTACGATTCCTGAGAACGCATAGTCTACGGGTCCAAACCATGACGAGAGTCTTGGAAGTGCAAGTGGCGCCTGAGACTGCCTGTGGATTGTGTTGTACTGTTTAAGGGTGCCAGTATTTTCGATTTCAGAGGAAAATTGGTCACACAGTTGGCTTGCAAACACATCCTGAAAGAGACTGATTCTACAACCAGAGTCAGGATTGCTAAGCACATAGCATCCGTGCGTCGTGATGGTGATAGGTTTCGTAAAGTCAATAACATTTCCATCCAGGGGAGAGGAGTTGTTTCTCGATCTCGTTGATCGAGAATTATCTTCAGTAAGAGTTCTGTCTTGCATGAAGAATAGATGGTAGGGAGCACATAATGAGATGGGGGCCAGGGCACCATCAAACCAACCAACAGCCTGAAAATAAGATAATGAGAGTAACACAGTTTTGACAGGGGTGAGTGATATCAGCATGCAGGTAGAGAGGTAAAGTTAAACAAAATCATTTTCAAAATAAGATAAAAAAGGAACACAAGGTCTAATTACATGAAAGTTTGTGATGTGATTTGGAGAGATGTTGGTGCTTGGTGGAATAGGGGAGGGAGGGGAAGGGAGCGGGGTGGACTGCTATGGCCCAATGTAGAGATATAGAGGTTATTTAGTAAGTCAATAGCAGGTTGGGTGTGGGATTTGAGTACAATTTATAGAGGAAGGGGAGGCGGGGGTAAGGAAAAGTTTGTATATAAAAGATACAGTATTATATATAGATATAGAATATATTGATATATAGGATAGAATATATATACATGTACACAGTATAATACCACAACACTACTATATAAAATACCTCTATTCAAGGATGTCCATGCAGTCCAGAGTACGCGCAACAGGTAAAAGGAGGGAGGGGTAGGGCTAGGCTAGGGTAGGGTAGGGTAGTGAAGGAGAGAGTGTTTGTGTCATTGTGATGGAGATGCAGTGCAGATGTGACATGAATCTAAAGAACTCATCTTATTTTCAAAGCTGATAGCCAGTCTTCTGATGCCACTGGCCCCCAGAGCTCACATGCACCCCGTTACCAAGTCGTTTACAGCTGCATTTCTTGTTGCGGGTACTCTAGACTTCCATGGTACATCCTCAAATTATTTGTTATATAGTAGTGTTGAAAGTATTAAAACTATCACCTATCACCTTACCTATACTAAGTTACTTTGCATATACTGCTTCTAGTTACAAGATAGCGATCTCAGTTCCCAATAACGTGTGACCCAACAGAAGGGATTGTGGAAGGACACGTACATTTTTCATTAACACGTGCCCTGATTACCTCCTCCGTTGAGCTACTATTATACGGGGAACGTTGACCGCCAACGTCTGTAGTCAGATCGTTAATAAATTATACTTTAAAATTGGTTGCCGGGTGATGGTGTCAGCGAGAGACGTTAAGTTAGGTGAACATTGGTACAAAAATATAATAATCTAGCAGTTTATCTCAAAGTTAAAACCACTATTTGTTAAAGTATAAAATCTGGTTCGTTATTTGATTGTAAAATCGCATAAACGCGCCTATTTGTGCGTTTTAGAGGGTTCAATTACGCCAGGCTATGTTAATGAACATAATAGCCTGGTGTCCCCAGGTGATAGACATTCTGTCAGCTAACTTTTTGAAAAAAGTATTTGCTTCTCTTCCCATTCCACTCGTTGTTGATATGACTATTGGTGTAAATGTTCCGTGTTCCACTTCAACAATCCTTTTGTTGTACATGTTTTTCTCCTGTCTCTCATGGCTATTGTACATACTCATTGGAGATCCAAGAGCCTTATTGGAAGGAGCTTGAGCATGAAATACTCTTACATCTAAAATGCCCTTGTTGGCCCCTGTAGGAAGTTCTCTCCCATTGACAGGGATCAAGAGAGGTTCAGTTGTAACATCTTTACAGCCAGCAGTTTCTAAGAGCTCTGCTAACACTTCTCTCAATGAATTGTGGCGAAGAGATACATTGGACCTTAAGATTGAATTTGTTTCTGAATGGTGTCAAAAAATGCGAAAATTTTTATTAAAAATGTTAGTGTCTAAAGTCTTCAGTGTAAAATGGTACTGAAATTAAAAATATCCTAAATCCTTATTTATCTTTTCCATGGAATACTAGTAAACCATTAACTATACCATATTACTATACCATAATACAAAAACAAAGTTTCTCTGGACGTTTGCGTCAAAACTCAGAAATATAAACAATTTAAAAGTTTAATGTTTATATAAGCCTTTCAATCCGAGATGTGATTTATTTTCTTTGAAATAGCAAAAAACAAAGGCAACAATTTTATACACGCAACAAAGAATTATAAAGTGTGTTACAATAAAAAATAAACATTAACATCATAAAATGTATTTCTACAGTTAAATTTTCAGCACTGTGTAAATAACACACAGTTGACACACCATTTTTATTTTGATTAATTTACTACTGCAACTGCTACAGCAAACAGTGTATCAAAGTTTTGCACGACGCTTATGGCTTGATTTTGATCGTAGCGCGCACTTTTGAGCTTTCGTTGCTAAAAATTAGCAATCTTTACAGTTTTGGCTTTTGACTTCGATAAAAGTTGTTATTTGGAAATAATTAAAAAAAAAGTTGACTTTTCAAATGTTGAAATGTTTTTGCCAAAAGTTGTGTTTTAATCGAGTTGATTGGGAACGCGCCATTATGATACGTTATACCACCAAAAAAATAATTTTGTTTCAACTGATCATTGGGCTTGTTAGTTGAAAAAGGTCATTCAAACAATATATATACATTATACATTCAATTTAATCAAGGGATGTAATTGGCACAGCACAATACATAGGTAACGGACATTTTCCATTGCTACCAATATTATATGAAATATCAACAACCAAATGTATACACATCTACTCCATCATAGGGGCAAGGATGAGGTTGTAAAAGACTTTTGATATATAATAGAGGGGTTTCACATTTTTCTCCATTTTATTGCATCTGTAGCCTCGTAAAGCAATGAGCATTGTTTTTAACATTACAAACTTATTTTTGTTCTCACATACCTTACCACGTCGCAATATCTTTTTTTCCTTTTCCTGGGTAGTAGGATAGGGAACGTATGGACATTCAATGAAACAAGAAATTCAATCAGGCTTTGGATTTAGGTAAGATTATGATTTATTTAAAAAACCACGGATAGTTTTATATTTACTTAGCTTTGTCGTATAACTATAAACAAGTTAATCCTGTTTTCATGAATGCGCGGCTTTGACGGCCGGTTATTGACTTAGACATAAACAATAAAATTGAATTTTAAATAGAAATGCGGATATATTGAAATTTAAAACTTTCAAAACAGTGTCTTATAAATATTATTATAAGACGATTGTAAAATATAGGATAACATTTTAAATTTGTTTCAAAAAAAAAATCAGCCTCAAGAAAGGCAAAGATACTGTGATGTAATATCATTTGTCAGGTGCAGACTGCGCTTTGATTTGCTCAGAACCTCTATAATTTCTATCAGGGGTTACAGAGGTTCCAGAATTCTTACACCTGCTGTATTAAATGATTTGGACCAGTGGCGTAACGTTGCGGGGCGCCCACCGCCGAAAAAGCGCCCCCTGTTGGCGCCCCCTCCCCTTTTGGTGCCCCTCCCTAAAATTGAACAAATTAGGTGATTTTAGAGAATATACCGGTAAAATCTCTAAAAGAGTGTGTATCTAGAGCAAAACGCGCAGTTTTGCTAGTACTTAAGTTAAGTTTTCGAAATTGTCCCACATTCAAACGACGATTTGGCACCCCCTAAGACGGCGCCCCCCCCCCCCCCTTTCTATGCCCCCAAACCACTTGAGTCAGTTGCCAAACACCCCAAAGCTGTTCTACATTTGCTCTTCTAATATTTACCTGTCCCAAATTTTTGTGGAAATAAAAATGAAAATGTATAACAACGATACCAAACCAATTATTAAGTGATGGTATCCTCACACAGTTGATTCCTGAGCTGAAGCATGTCTTCCAGCTATTCTAGAGCTTATGATAGTTGTTGTATACAGTTCCCTCCAGTTCTTTGTTGATAATGGAACAAATATGTTTGGGATATCTGCTCTTTTTTTCCACCTATTCATAGAAAGATAGACAGTCAGATTGAAGAGCAGTGAAAATTGTAACAAACAGAACTTCTATAGAATTTTTATAGAATTTTTAATATTTTAGGGAATTTCATTTTTATTATCCTGATTTTTACATTTGATAGGCTGATGAGTTTCATACTGTGATTTCTTGCAGTCATCATCCTTTCCTCAAGTCCTCTGTTAGAAAACCTGCTAAGCCTGCTTGTTAGGTGCATCTGCCTTATTTAGTCACGATTTATTTACAGTTTTTAACGTCTGTTTTCTGAACAGTTTCTTGTTTCACCTAAGGCAAAGATGCACACTCTCGTTAATTTAAGTATCATTTACAGCTGAGCATAAGGGTTAAATTTAAATTATTTAACCTTTTGGTGCTGTATACAAATAACATTAATTTATTATTATTATTATTTATCAAGTGTTTGGTTGAGCCACCATTAAAGTAAATTGCGACAGATGTTGAATCAAACTTCTTAACTAACCTGCAACAAGTGCCAAAACCAAGTTAAAATGGTTAATCATACACTATTCAATTAGGACTCAAACTTACCCATGGCTCGTGGACACCAAAAGGAGCTGGCTCAGCAAAGAATGCAAAGAAAGCTGCTGCAGCTAAGAGTGGAGTCAATCAGAAGAAGTCTGCTGGGGCTGCATTAATCCATAAATGCATAGTTTGCATGGTATTTATTAATTGTGTGTATGTAAAAATATTGTATCAAATATGGTCAATATGATAATACATAATGTCATTGTAGAATGTTAACTTAACAGTCAATCTAACTTATAATCCCACATCCAGAAAGTTTTATATTTCCTCCCAGATGCGTTTTTTTCTAAATTCTGTGGCCCGCTCGCTTCGCTCGCAAGTTTGGGGAGGGAGCTGTCGGCGAGCGAAGCGAGTCGACGTGTCCAATCCAGCTGCACAGCGAGCGAAGCAAGCAAGCTGTGGCAGGGGTCTGGGGGCGTAGCCCCCAGCGGGGTCCAGGGGCGGAGCCCCTTGGCGGGGGCTAGGGGGCGCAGCCCCCCGGAAATGTTTTGCGAAATAGGGTGTTTTAGACGGCATTTGGCATTAAAGAAGTTTGTAGGACAGCAATAAACTGGGATTGAAAAGAATCAAGTACTCACGTAAATTTGGTAACTTCACAACAGCAATCTGCATTCTCCAATCAGAATATTTCACAATATTCCAAAACTGACAGGATGTTCCTCTTTGATTTTTATACAATCGAAACATTTTCTTCAAAAATTTCCTCAATTAATTTGTTTTTATTCCAAAAAAATATTTCGAAATTTAGGAGTAACTTCTTAATTTCCTCTTAATTTCCTCTTTTTCTACCGTTTTTCCTCCCAAAAAAAAAATTTCCTCCAAGGCTGCCTTGCAAGATGGCGTGTTTCTGGATGTGGGCTTATAATGTCTCCATCAGTATCGCAAATAATTTGATATCTCTTTTTTCAGAGCCAAATGGGCGATCTAAAGACTTACAAACAACATTTTGAGAGCAAGCACTCCAAGGTAGCTCTTCCTGATATACTGAAAGATGTTGAGGCTTAAACTAGTTGGAATGGAAATTTGTTATTAACTTAGCTTTAAAGCCTTGACAGTATTCATGGCAGCTCTTCTTAATATTTGATATCTCAGAGTTTTAGATATATATAATTTCTAGCTTGTTATTGTTATATTATTATGAATTCATGCAGGAAGTTATATATATATATATTTATTAAAGTGACGCAAGAGCTTATAGTTTGAAACATCTATACGTAGTTGATAAAGTAGACGTTAAAAAAGAGATTGCTATTGACCAAACAGGCTGCATTGAAAGATTTAATCAATTCCTTGATAAAAATGAAGTTGATATTTAATAGATCATAGTATGCTAAACGAACTTAGGTTTCTGTCTCCTGCTTTTTGATCGATTTATTTGTTCAATTCTTCATAGATTAACATCTATGATCTATAAAACATTATTTTACTTCGAATCACTGTGATTTATGCATGATTGTAAACCAAATAAAAAGGTCGTCAATTATTTATATTATGTTTAACAAATTTGATTCATTAAATCTTGATTTGAGTTATGTAATGAAAATTCCTCAAAATCCACACAATAGGATGGTGTAAGCAAAGTGAATCCAGCTAACAATGGTTTCCACTGGTGAGTTATATAACTGTGAATCTTTACTTAGACTCACAGATCAGAGGTAATTTAGATGTAGATTAAGTATGTTTCATTTGACAAAGTTACACTGACCTGTCTTCTCCTTAACATTTTCTATAACGTTTCTGAGAGCTTACAACTTGACATCCCGCAGTTTCCTCATGGTGGTTGTCCCTGCAACATGACTGGTGTGACGGGTTCACTAACAGTGAGAAAGTATGGGTATCTGCCCATCACCTCAACTCTAAGACTTGTCACAGTTTCCTTACATCTAGTGGTCCTAAAGATGATTTGTTTACCTCTAAGTTGGTAAGTGTGCAACTATGTAGTGTTGGGTGACTGTACCTGTTCAGCTCTCTATCGTAGCGCTCTGAGATAGAGCTCTGTTTGGTTGGATTTAATGGGGGTCTGTATTTATGTTATATGATTCAAAATCAATCATCAATAATTGATCATTCACTTACACTACATATTTCCACAGGTATCAGAGCGAGAGATTGAAGTTACACACGCTACGACAAATACCTCTACAAAGTTTACAGCTCCTGTTTCTTCACACAAAGTAACTCCCAACCACAACCCGGTTTCTCTTGATATAACCTCCACTGGTGGACTTGGAGCTGTCACTAATGGTATTTACTGCATTTTTCTCTCTTAGATCTGCAGAACGAAAATCTCAATTATTCCAACATTAGAAAAGAAAACAATTTGATTTTACACAGCTGAATCTTTCAATTTTTTTAATTGAATGTAAAATTTACTACAAAATTTACCAAGATTTGTAACGAGATAAAAATCCCAGAATCCACCAAAAGTAGTGACTATAGTTATAGTGACTGTAGTAGTTACTATAGTAGTGACTATAGTAATGACGTAATGACTACCGCTACAGTAGTGACTATAGAGTATTATAGTAGTGACTACAGTAGTGACCAGCTCATGTAAGTCTCTCCCAGGTAAGGACGTGTTAGTGTTTGAAGGAAGTAACGGGAATGTAAGGAGGACTCTAAGTGGACATGTAGATGATGTGCAGAGTGTTAAGTTCTTCCCTAGCAACAAGGTCCTTCTCACAGGTAGGCTTATCTTATCTCCCTTATCTCCTGAACTTGTTAAACATGTGTTTTTGTTATTCTGTAATTTCTTTTATAGCTCAATTGAAACTTTTTTGTTTATCAAACTTTCGATTTATCAATCATGAATCATCTGCAGTACTGATTTTACCAAAGTAACAACTCTTGTCCGTCATTTAAAAATGATAAATGACGACTGATATGACCACTAGTTACACAGGGGGAAGTGACATGAGTGTTAAGATATGGTCGGTGGAAGACGGTAGTTGCCCAGTAACTCTGACAGGCCACAAACGTGGTATTACTGCACTTGGTATGATTGAGAGGGGCAAGGAGGTAGTTTCTAGTTCCTTAGGTGAGATTAAATCTTACTTACTCATAAATTGTAAAGACATATTGAAATACTAATTAGAAATTTGTTTAATTGACATAATTTCGTTCTCATCGATTTCTCTAAAAAATTGTATTTCAACTTAGTCTCCGATTTATGCAACCCACGTGACAACCCACGTGACAACCCACGTGACAACCCACGTGACAACCCACGTGACAACCCACGTGACAACCCACGTGACAACATTGTCCCCTTTCAGACGGAACTATAAAGTTATGGGTATGTGGAACACAGCAATGTTCAACTACAATATCTCCACAGTCCGGTGCTGTCAACCACATTGAGATATTAGACCAGGTTAATCAACTTATTTAAGTGCTTACTTAAATACCCCCTCACAGATTGTTATTTCATAACATAGGTTTGGTAAATTGATATGTGAAAACAAAGATAATTAAAACTCCTTTGTACGAATAAGTACAGAGAAAACTATCAGGGGACTGTCCACTGTAACCCAACCATTCTGACAGAGTGCAGTATCAAGCAGCAGCAAGCTAGTGATGAGTGTAACAGAAACAGGTTTACTTGCAGTCCACAGCTTGCAGGACAGTAAACTGATCTCTCAGTTCCAGCATTCTTCTGAGCTGACGGCGTGTACCGCTGTGTCCCAACACCTTCTCGTACGTATTTGTCACTGTATTTGTCACTGGGTATTTGTCACTAGGTATTTTACACTGCCCCCTTCGTATTGAGCTGCTTACTCGGATCAGATAGATCTAAATCTATTAATTTATGTTTGATAATGATAAACAATATAATCGCACTGGGCATTTAATTTCAAATCAATAGAATTTCAATTCGGTAAAAACTGTCGGGAAATTTCGCCTTCAAAAACTGAAAATGGGACAAGAAATGGGAGAGTATGATGTTTCCATTTTTTCGGTAATTTTGACTTGGAGTACCTCAATTTGGTCTCATACCATCCTCAGACCTCAGTTAACTGATTAATAGGTCACCGGGCAAACAGTCCATTAAATCTGACTGTATGTGTGTCTTTTTCTGGACATTCTGCACAAGATAAGAGCTGTCAGTGTCGCTACACTCTTATAATTCAATGACATCTGACATGTTTACAGAATTATATGAAATAAGTTTGTAGAGGAACACAGTAATGTCTAACTGTCAAATTATCTATCAGGGCCAGGGGTGTATAATACAGGTAATAAAGTAATAATATCGGGGTATAACTCCTTATAATTCCCGGGCCACCTTCTGTTATCATAACCTACAATTAGTGTTCGTTTATGTTTTGCTTCTTCTCGTATCGGTTTCACTAGTTTCGGTTTCACTAGTGTTCTATATCATGTTTCAGTAATATCGTGTTCTGTACTGGAGTGTTGGTGTATTGTGTAACTGAGAGTTCAATTACTTGCCATACAAGCTAGTCTCCTACCTCAGTACTGTTAAAATAGTTTACTGTACAAAGCTATACCAGGACCGTGTTAAGCTGGCCTCTTAATTTCCAGTTTTAAATAAAATTCTATCGAAATTTGGAGCTCTTAGCGGCCAGCTGAGTCCTGCTCAAATAACTTGGTGTACAAGCAAGTCTAGCATGTTCTTTGTTGCTGATATCTATTATAATAGTGGCTCAGGTTGGTTAGTCCCTACATTGCTTACCTTTACAGTTAGCTACAGCTCAGTTTGTACTCAATCTGTGCGTTACTTTGGGATATCTCACTACTCATGGTTTCAATTCTTTCAACACTGATATAAAATAACAAATAATTTGAGCTCATTATGTAATCAGGGCGACAAATTTGAAACTTGCTGGAGGGGGTTTGCAGTCTTCAGCTATACCGGTAGCGGTAGGACATTTTAACATTGTATCAAAGTTTTCTCCGGATATACTGCTTCCAGTACCTTGATGGCGACTTGTGTCACTCTCACCGACCTCACTGATTGGTCACTGGTCAAAATTTCAGTAAAAACCGCGAAATTTCGGTCAAGGGGACGGCAGAAAAGCTCCTCTTCGAAAATCTTCGAAAATCTTCGAAAATCTCTTTGATTTAATCATGCTCAACTCCGGGCATAGTACTCTCACGTTGTGTAAGAGAGCTTGTCTGTTAACAGAATTGAAAGCGTTACTGGCGTCAACTAAAATCACTGCTTCTGCAGATTCTGTTTCGAATTGCTCCCGCTTGTAATGTACTGCAGCTTCCGATCCACTTTTTAGTCCTGTACAAACCTGCAGTGGTCCAGCAGCAACTTGGATGGCTGTTTTTAATTCCCAACTCAAACATTTTCCCACTATTCGTCTAAAAGTTTCCCCTATTCCTATTGGCCTCACCCCTGGGCACTTGTTAAACGGGATGAGTCTACTGTTAACGTAGGAGTCCAACAGATCAGGATTATACGGTTTTGACGCGATCAACCTTGCAAACTTAGCAATCTCATCTCTCAGTTTCTTTCCCTCTTCTTTAAAATTCTTATGCGTCAAAATGAATCTAAAAAAATCAGCATCAGTTTGTGATGGTCCAGCAGAACCGTTAGTAAATTTTGCCGCCCTAAATACCATTGTCTCGTCTATGTTATAAAACAACGATTCTTCTGTTTCTTCGATCGGTCCAAAAAGTAAACTATTCTCCACTATAGGCATTGGTTCTGGATGCTTCTTCAGTAGCTGGTCCATAGTCTCTGTAGACATTTCTAGTATTCCTTTATTATCGTTAACAGAAACTTAAAGAGCTAAGGAAAGTTATGCAAGTCTGGCTGGCCGACGACGCGTCATCTGTTGGAACACTAATACATCTCAAAACCTGGTGGGATATGATAGTGGCAGAGGGAATTAAATATGGATATCATGTCAACCCCAGCAAATCATGTTTGATAATAAAACATCCATCGAGCATGGAGAGGGCTATGGAAATATTTGGAGAAAGCGGGATCGAGATAAAAATAACTGGAAGAGACATCTTGGAGCGGTTATTGGGTCACAGGAATATAAACGACTTTACATCAATAATTTAGTTGAAGAATGGACCAAAATGATCAACAAATTATCAGATTTTGGTCAATCCCAGCCACAAGCAGCATATGCAGCATTCACTCATGGAGTTAGGCACAAAATGACATACTTCATGAGAACAATCGAAGGACTAGATCAATACTTGCAACCTCTTGACATGCTTATCGATGAGAAATTCATACCGGCTTTATTTGGATGCCCTATTACACCATTAGAGAGAAGAACGGTTGCTTTTAAAAAAAACTTTAAAACTTCACAACTATACTGGCTGGCTTAAGATATCCAATAGGTCTTCACAATGTCAAGCTTTATTTTTTTGACGGCCCCAACGTTAATGTGGCTCTTGCTATGTGTTGGTTCAGCCGAATTAATTATTATGTAATCAAGTTTATTTTTCTCTTTTAGTTAGTTGTCATCCGGCCAAACATTAAGCAACTTATATTGCAGCACCTTTTATCAATTAGTTTATCAAAATATGTCATTGTAATTTTGCATGGCTGAAATGTAACGCTTGATTTATATATATATAATAATTAATTGAATTTTCAAATTTAAAAAAAAATTTCCTTTCAGAGCCCCTTTAGAGCGAAATTTCAACTCATTGGAAAGTTGCCTAAAATTAATCTAATCATAGGTCAGGATCAAATGAGAAGCAAGAATGTGATTCATTTTTGATACAAGAGAAACGCCATTTTCGGACGTGAGGAGAGTTAGGACTCCTCCAACTATATTAAATCAATTCCTTCTGTAACGTCCTGAATAAACATAGCTACGAAAACAAAATTTACTAAACACCAAAATTATATTACATGTACTAATTAAATGCAAAGATACAACAAAAGAACAAATAATAATAAATTATTTTGAAACAAATATCAACATAATATAACATAATAGCATAATAGCAAAATAACAAAATAACAACAAAACATACGATATTTGAAGAATGACTCAGAAGCGTAAAATATCAAATTTGCTCCTTCATCAAAACAAATTTTCAAAATTTTAATTTTACAGAAAAAAATATAATATTTACAGAAAGAATTGTTACAGAAAAAGGCAATTAGATAAAAATGTTAGTTTTTAAAACCTCCAAAACTTTTATGTACACGGATGTTTATATTAGCCTCTATGAACTTTTTAACATATTTATTTAAGACATCATTATTAAAATTCTGATACAATGATTTAAATTTAATAGATTTCACATCTTTAATAAATCCTTCTAAATTCGTATTTACATTACATAGTCTAAGCAATTGTGAATAGATGTGAGATTGTAAGCGATACATTTTGGAATCTCACTTTTTCATCCCTCACTTTCTAATCCTTGACGTTAGGTAATTATAAACAAGTTTATTTTATTTGGCGCAGAATGTCAGACCTCTAAACAGAGATAAGCCTGGCGGAAATTATGGACATTTAATTATAATTTGGGGCCGTAGATGTGATGTTGCAAAGGTTTGATATGCGGGCTAAAGTCTCAAGATAATAATGTAATTTATTTAGCGGACAGTTAAATCAATGCAATGAAATTCAATAGTCAAATAATGTGTCATCAAAAATAACTATGTATGTTTCAGAGAATAATACTTGAGAACATGGTTGTGTAATATTTAGTTACGTACCTTGATTACAATTTCTCTTTCCAAACTGAATAATGATCATAACTCGACCATACGAACACATGACCTTTGGATTTGTCATGGTATTAAATATTTCTGACTTGTCTTCTTCAATTAGAGAGTTGCTATAAATACAGGGATTCCTTTTAAAATCTTTCTTTCGCATAATGTCGCAAATTTTAATTTACCCATTGAGAATAGATCCACGATATTGTAAAGGTGATGAACGGGAGCCTTCATTTTATCTACTATTTACTGTTTCCAATAAATATTATTTCAATTTGCACTTTCTGATGCAACACGTCGAGTTTGTGTACAAATTTTGTGAAACAAAATATGTTAGACTGACAGAGGACGATAAGGAAGGAGTATTCTCTGACAAAGTGCTCCAAGTGCTGTGGATACTGATAACAGGCCGAGACAGCAGCAATGAGATTATAGATCTAGCACTCTCAACTCACATCAAAATACTCTTGAACTACATCTACTCTCATGGTGTTTGTTAATTTATTTTGAATTGTAGTTGACGAAGTGAGAGTCTCCACTCAGTGTGTTAAAACATAATTCTTTGTCGACGTTTCGGCTATTGACCCACTCATAAGAGCAAAAAAAGATTATCAGTGTTTGTTAATTATTAATAATAACTTAATATTAATATTAGCTTAATAATAATAAAACATTAACTTATTATGTTGTTAGTACAGTATTTGATTAAGTCCGTTAGTCCGTACTCCGTAACTGTTTTCTATCACCTCCAATTTGTTGAGGTAAGTCATCTATTTAACTGGGTCAACACTAGTTGATATTGCTTACTGATTAGGATGTATTTGCAAACCAGCCGTCATTGGTAGAGTAGTTCCTCCACCAATTGTGGTGACATCATTGTAACTTGGCGGTGGGAGCCGTGGGAGGTCAGTGACATCATTGTAACTTGGCGGTGAGTCGTCAGATAAAGTAGATATCCTAGCTCCAACGGTTCCTTGTGGTTGGTAGATTCCACCGGTTGCGGCAGGCGGATAGGTGCTACCGG